CGCGATTTGATCCGGCAACGTCGCCCCCGCCTCGAGGCCCGCGGAGAGGGTTACGGTCGAGTCGAACTCCTGGGGTTCGTCTTTACGGAAGGATTTCTTGCCGTCGCCGCGGTCGTTGACCGCGTCCGGGGGCTTCGGCTTGCTCCCACGCGTCGCCGGGTTTGCGGACTCCCACTGCGCGAGCTTCTTCGCGTAGCACTGCGGGACGTGGATGCCGATCGAGGTCGTCCCGAATTGGCGACCGCAGAGATTGCAAGTCTCCAGACTTGGGCAACAGGAGGAGGAAAATTTATCACCCAAATTGTGAGCGTGCATGGCCCTCAATTCAGTCGGATGGTAGCAATGTGAAGAAAGATTTTGTTTTTTTTTGGAAAAAGTGAAACCCCCTCCAACGCGAGGTTTCTTTGACTATGAAAAATATAAATTGGATGTTCAATAACCTAAGGCAGATTGACTACAGAGTCTAAGACTGAACGTCAGGTAGCAAAATATCGAATATTTTGATATTAGAGAAGGATTTCGACAGGCACATGCGGGAGAACAACTTGGTACAAGTCATTTCCTTTTCCTTCTAAAATAAATTAATCAATGAACACCAAAATTGGTATAAGTCATCATTTGTACACTATTCCTTTAATCCATCCTAATAAAAGGGATTATAGCGAGAGATACGCCAACCCCCATTTTCCTTCCATCCATAATGAAGACTACTTTCTCTATGCTAATACATCCTACACTTCTGTCCTTCTCAGACTCCACTAACCATACGTATCTGAGGGAAGGAGGGGTGAGGGAGGACCAAACACCATACCGTCGCCAAACACAGACCCCAACAGGGCGATCCCCCCATACCAAGTGTGTGTGTGGGGGGGGGAGGGGGGTAGAGCTCCCCGTTTTCCTTTTTTCTCACTCCCCACCTCCCCATTCCCCCACACCATCCGTGCGTGATGCGATTTAATGAATCGCATTGGGCCCCGGGTTTTTGACGGTCGACGGGTACTTCGCGCCCTCCAACGGACGCACACGGAATTGCTGCCCTGGGTAGATCTCCTGCGCGAGGGCCTCGAGCCCGTCCGTGCGGCCGAACCCAGGCTCCGCTTTGGCGCGGTGGATGCCGAATTTCTTCGCGTTCTCCTCCTCGGCGCGATCCGCGGCCTTGTCGGCCGCCTCCAGCTCCTCAAAGGCGATATCGAGCTCGTGCAGCGGCGGGAGGGCGCGCACCCCGCGTTCGATCTCGGCCGCCTCTCGAATCGTATGCGGGGTGTAGGCGAGCCGCTCCCAGCTCGCGAGACGATCGAACAACGTGCTTCGCCGATTCACCTGGTCGAGCTCAAACGTGAGAATGTAGTTATCGTCAAACCACGGGTTCGGGATCACCCATGGGGCGAGTTTGCCAAAAAATCGCCCCAGGCCACGGTAGCAGGGGAAAACCCATCGCGGCTCGTAATACCGCGCGATCTCGCGAAAGGCATCGACGTGGGGGAGGGTTTCGGGGCCGCCGAGGTCGAATCGGTAGCGCACCGCGCGATGAGCGCGCGCGCACCGCACGACGCTCCGCGCCGCATCCACGACCCACGTCGGCTGCACGAGGGTGTTGGGGAAGCACGCCGGGTAGAGGAAACGGCCGAGCCCGCGGTAGCGATAATTTCGCCCGTAGAGCGGCCCGAATCGGATCAGGGTGGCGTCCGGGTGGTTCGCCCCGACGGCGTCCTCGCCGCGCGCGCGATGGTCGACGTAGTTCGACTCCGACGCGAAGGTGGCGTCGAGGCCGGTGATGTAAATCACGCGATCCGCACGGACGCTGCGCGCCGTCCAACTCACATTCGTCGCCCCCGTAAAGAAGACGTCGTAGTGGCTGTTATTCGCGTACTCCGCGTGGTAGTCGACGGCGAAGATGAGGGTATCGCTGCCGTTCGAGGCGACGTTTACCTGGATGCGATCCGTCACGTCGCACTCATGCAGCTCGATCTTCTCGGGGTAGCGCTGAAGCAGGAGATCGAGGTCGGAACCCGGGGGGATGAGGGTGGGGTACCGCGTACAGGCCCGCACGCATTCGATTTTCGGGTGCTCACAAAGCTCCCGAACGATCTCCGCGCCGAGGTAGCCGGAGGCGCCGAAGACGGTTACCCGACGCGCGGGTTTGGGGTTCAGCCGACGCCGCTCATGCGGGAGGCGAACGGCCGGGTTCGGGAGGTGCATCGCCGCCCAATAAGGGCCGCGTTCGTAGCCAAAACCCCCTCCAGTCGTCTTCGGTTTTCGCGTGGGGTACATCTGCTCGAGATCTTTGCGATCGAGAAACATCGACTCCGGTTGGTGGCCGTAGGGATCCCAGAAGGAGCGGCCGCCGGGAACCGCGAGAAGCGCCGCATTGGCCTTCCCGGACCTCAGTCGCCACATGGGAGGTTAGGAAAAGGGCCGCAAGACTAAAAATAACCGCGAGAAATAATAATAAAACAATACTAATATAATGTATCTACGTAGAATACCCGACTTCCTTGTTTTCTTGCGTGGCAATTGGAAAAACGAAGCGGGAAAGATGGGGTCGTAGTTTTGGAAAGTCATTCCCGCAATACTACAGGTGCGTTTTCGTTCCTCACACAGGGTACTGCTGCAGTGGTAGACAATATTTAGCAGGGCGCAAAAAAGCCAAATGGATCCTTTTTCGGTTCCATTACACCAATTAATTTACATAGACTTATAATAATCGATACTCATAACCTGCCCTTCACAGAAAGTCCACACCTGCACAGGTCTTTGTATTTAACATTTGATAAAATAATATGCACACTGCCATCATCTCTTAAAGGGGAGAGAAAATTAATACCCTTTTCGAAAACATAAAATTAAATAAAAGAACATGATTAATCATTCTCAAAGCGAATTTCCCAGTCTTCCTCGATTTTAAGCCTTGGATTGTGCACGATAATTGAATTTCCCACACGCTCAAACCGCATAGGCTCTCCCGCGATTTGCGGGTCTGGTCCTTCCTCTGTGGTCGATACCCGGTATATTTTTAGTGGTTTTCGGTTATACCCCATCACAACAATGCGCTCGACGACGTTGGAAACGGTGAAAGTGCTGTTCGTCGACGCCTCTGGATGCTTGGTGCAGCGAAGGTGGTACTTCGAGAATTCAAACCGCCGATAAAGCGAATCCCCTCGCTCGTAGTGAAACGTGGTACCGTCGTCAAGATAAAACTCACCACGACTCTCCCCCTTGGCATTGAGGGCGATATAAAGCGTGAATGGATCGCCCCGCGCAGCGTACGTGCTGCGGCGGAGTCGAAGCTTCAGGGGTACGATGTGGCCACCACGAAGGAAGAGCGGGATGGTCTGCAGCGTCACCGGCATCGGGTAGGTCGTACGACCCGTGATCGCCTCCCCGGTGGAGTACTCGTACCATATCTCGCGCGCGGGCAAGCGCACCGTCGTCTCCGTGGCTTTTCGATGCACCACCGGCGAAACCAACAGGGAGGGTCCGAACATAAAGGTCGTCTGCTCCCCCCACAAATCCTCCTGCGCGGGGAATTCGAAAAAGAGCGGGCGCAGCACCGTCTCGCCGTGGCGATGCGCGCGGTAAAAGACCGTGTACAGGTACGGAAGCAGCGCGTAGCGTAGGGCAAGGGCATAGCGAACGTGGTGTTGGGCTTCCTCGGAGAAAGCCCATGGCTCGCGGCGCCTCGTGTCGTGATTCGCGTTGCCGCGGAAGAAGGGGTAGAAAATGCCCATCTGCATCCAGCGCACGAAGAGCTCCTCTTCCGGCTCCGAATAGAAACCCCCAACGTCGCTTCCGCAAAAGGGATAATTGGAAATGGACAACGAAAGCAGTTCCGCCGGGGTGCTTTGCAGATGATCCCAACGCGCCACGTTATCGCCGGTCCACATCGCCGCGTAGCGTTGGGAGCCCGCGAAGAAGCTTCGCGTGAGAAGAAAAGGCCGCGTTTTTACCGCCTTCCCCTCCCCAGCAGCCCCCAGGGCGCCTTGATACGCCGATATCACCGATAACAAACCGTACATGTTGTGAAGCGATCGATGCTCGACGCGGTGGCCGTGGTCGTCGTAATGGATTAACTCCTTTCCCATCGTCCGACGAGGTGCATTCCGCACCGCGGGTTCGTTCATCCCCACCCCAACGTGAGTCCGCGATCGACCCTTGCCCGGGGATTCCCGATCCTGAAAAAAACCCGCATACCACGCCCGCGTGCGCGCGTTTAGAAAGTCCGGCCATGAACACTCCCCTACCCAGCCCTCCCCTTTAAAGACCTCGCCCTTCGCGTCTTGGATGGCGTGATGTCCCTGCTCGGCCTCCTCGTGGAGGGTGAAGTTCTCCACCCGCCGCACCTCCGGAGAGATGAAGGTGATCAGCCGACGACCTTTCGATTCGAGCGCGTCCGACAGCACCTCCGCGTCGGGAAACGCACGCTCATCCCAGGTAAAAGATCTCCCCTCGTCGGTATGCTCGACATCCAGCCAGAGCGCGTCGTAGGGCATGTGGTGCTGATCAAACCCTTCGTCGACGGAGAGGGCGTCTTTGAAGTCGAGATAACTCCGGCGGGATTGGTGATAACCGAGGGCGAAGTAGGGTGGAAAGACGGTCGGCCCTGTGAGAAAGGCGTGTTGGCGTTGAACCTGCGCCGGGGTGGGGCCGGGGAGGAGGAAAAAATCCACCGGCCCGACCTCGGCCCTCCACTCACAACGAGGCGGCGCCTCCTCCGGAGGCGCCTTCCGCTCCCGCACCACGACGTGGAGCTCGGCGGCGTTGAGGAACAAAAAACCCGTGGTCGCCTTCGCCGAGTACGCCATGAGAAACGGAATGGCGCCGTAAAGCGCGTTGGTGCTGTTCAGTGGGTATTGAAAGGCGTCGTGGTTGAACAATTCGTAGGGGCTACCGGAGCGCAAAGGCAAATCCGCCGCGTGCTCCGCAAGGCCATACATCGTCTGCGCAGACGGGAACGTAGAGGTGACCACGGCGCGTGGGGTTTGCTGGAGATCCACCGTCGCGGATACCAACGGGAGGCCGACGCAGGTGTAGTTCACGATCACCTCGGAGGCCCCTTGAGAGAGGCGAATCACCATCGTGCAGTTCTGATGCTCCACCACGCAGGTCGCATCATGAGGCGTGCAATTCAGCCCTGGCGTTTCAAAGGCTTCCGGCTCCGCCACCACGCTGTGCGGGACGGTGAAGCTCCACTCCTTTTCAGGTTTTATGGTGAGGCGGAGGATGCCATCCCGATACGGGGTGACGTAAAGCGCCGTCTTCCTTTCGGGGATGCGTGAAACGAGGAGGGCGTGGCCTGTCGACTGGAGCGGTACGTCGGTCGCGAGGGCCATGGTAAAGGATACCAAAACTAAAAGGAGCGCATACCCTCGAAAGCTCATTTTCAAAAAAAAAAATACAATGATTTGCGGTCCTTGATGTTATGTATTGTGCAGAAATCAGACAGAAATAACAGGATGGCGGGTTTTTAATGCACAAATAGAACACTAGAACAATCTTTCATTAGAAAAGAAAACGGCCATATAATTTTAAAATAAGCACTCTCATACAATGTATATGAATATATAACCATATATATTAGTACAAGGATAGATAGAGCAAGAGGCTGCATTGGAAGCGTCATTACAACATGACCATCCACACGAGCCGATTTCGGCGAACTCGCGCACCCGGCAATGCGATCGTCACCTTAAACAACAGTAGTGAGGGCAACCCATATAACCCACCCCCATCAAACGCAAACGCGAGAAACTAAGTAGCAGAAGTGACGTCCAAAACGATGAACAACAACAACGAATATTGGCGGCTATTAGTCGCTCAACAAGGAGGCTACGTCTACATAGTTAAGGGAGAGAGCATCGGCAAACTCCTTATGAAACCCATTCAATAAAGGTGAGCTTCGATTGCTACATCCGACGACCAAGGACGTGGTCGTATCCGGCTGCAACGAGGTGTTGAGGTTGGCTACGAAATAGCTCATAATCCCCGTATTTGGAATCACAAAGGACGCCGCCGTGTGGCTGGATCCCTGATGGGCGGTGATATAAGACATCACCGACAATATCACCGTTATCGTGCACCCACCTTCGGCGCCATCGCGCACGGAAAGGTACTTCGACCAGAAATCACTTATCGGGCGCAACGTCAGCTCGAGATGAGTCGCATTCCCGTGATGGAGATAGGGATAGTGGTCTAGAAGAAGCACGCGGTAGCCACGATCGGCATAGGCTTTGATCTTTTGAGCGACTGCGCTGAGGTGAGCCTCCACGCGAAGATCTTCTTGGGGCGAGCTTGAATCCTCCGTGGTGGGGGCCGCGTCAGCATCCTCGCGGGCGCGTTGTCGTATCGTGGGTTCGAGGACTTTCCGAGCCCGCAGCCTCGCGGGGAGCACCACGTCATCGATGAAAAAAATCGCGAGCTGTCGGGAGGCATCCCCGTGCTGACTCGTCTCCGCGCGCTCCGTCGAGGCGTGGCTTCGAAACACGCGGTAGAGGATGCGAGGATCCGGCCGCCACCAAACGAGGCCGTCCGCGGTCTGAATCGAACGCGACGCGTGATCTCTCGCCCGCGATAAGGCTCCTTTGGAATCCCCGGACGAATTCGCAGCCGCGAGAAGGAGATGCAGGGGCGGTGAGTGGGCGTGCTGTTGGGTGATTTTATCCCGCACGTAGCGCATGATCGCGTGGGATTGCCCGCCATCGTGCCCGCGTTCCTGGAGGACTTTTTGAAGGCGACGGTCGAGATCGTCCGCGGCGCGGACTCGCAAGGAGGAGCGCTCGGATCCCCCATCGAGGATTTGCGTGAGGCTGCTCTGATCGATCGTCTCGTGGGTGGAAGAGCGGGTGCGTTTCGAGCTCGCCACCCGCGCCGAGCCGCTGGAAATCGCGGAACCTTCCGCAATTGTCATGCTTTCCGGGATCGCGCGATGCAGCACCGTCGTGTTGGATGAGATCAGTTTGTTACCGGCAGGCTTATCCCACCGAACGAAGAGTTCATACCTTTCCGGGATGTCGGAAGGCGCCAGCGACAGACCGCCAACATTATTTATATTAAAGAAATTGAGGTGGAACAAGATTTCGCGGCGATTGCATGTTAAGTTGCCGGACTCCTTGTGGTGCAGAACAATCGGGGTTGAATCTGAGATCCGGATAGGGGTAGTTATTCGACTACGAGAACTCGCGAAGGCTCGTAGTGGAAGCCATAAATCCCGTGGCTTCGCGCCTATGGAACTGGCGAGCTCAGGGAGGCGACAGTCTCGAGGCACAACATGAAAACTCATTATTTAACAGTACCTAAGCTAAAGTAAAAAAAAAATTGCATGAGCGCGTGAAACGTCAAGACTTGAAGTTAAATAGAAAGTAAATAAAGGTCAAGAGGGGAAGCTATGGCGACATGAAAGAATATAGAGAAGAAAGGATGCGCTCTTGGCTAAGCAAAATACTCGGCGACATATTTAACTTTATTTTATTTACTCCCATAAAGCATGGCGCGACATTTTTAGAGGCACAGCAAGCATTCCATTATTAAAAAAGAGTCATTATCAGGTACAATAAAAAATTTTCAACACCGTCAGCTATATCAGGCAGAAAAAACAGTATTACGGAAAAAAAGGAAAAACACGTTGGCATGTATATAATAGGGAAAAGTTGAAAAAAGCAAATTCAAGAATACAGAAAAAACTGGAGGAAGTACTTTTACCAGCATTGATACTATAAATACATATATATATATATATATATATATGTATATACATGCAAAAAAAAAAACATTCATAAAACCTTTGGCTCTTCTTAGACTATAACCCATCCATGTGATTTAAGCTGCTTGCTCATTGAAGTGTTACCAGGGGATGTCGTTGTGCTCGCTTCCTCAGCCATTTTAACCACCAAGAAAACTTGTTGAAACAGCGTACCACCTATCCTTGTTGTGGATGTAGAAATGGCATCCTTGCCGTTGTGGGATGACAGCCTATCACATTTCACCAGCTGTGAATCCTTCTCCACATCGCCGGAAGCCCTTCCCGTCGTGGGCGCGTATATAGTAAAGCCACAGGATCCGTGAGCGGTGGTATAACGCAGCGAAAGAGGAGGTTGGCCGACCGAATCGCGGAAGATCACCACACAAAAGGAACGCGGTGGCAGCTTCGATGGTGGAGCGCGCAGCCAGGGCGATGAAAGCATATCGAGTGAGATCACTTCCGAGGTATCGCTTGGATCCCCATCCGAGATCTTGGAATCGTCCTCTGATGAGGTTTCGGGCTCGATGAAGTACAACGGGACCTCGTTACAGTTGGCGATTACCACACGAATAATGTTCGACGCGACTGCTGTCGACTCAGCCTCTTGTAGCTCTACCATGTCGTCACCTTTCATTGTTTTCGGTTCATCTTTGGTGCGGTCGCGGTTCAGTTTGCCAGCAAACGTAATCAACTCATTGTGAAATTCATCAATAGGGTATACCTCTGCCACGCCAGACGTCTCCCCCCCTTCGAGGATGGTATCTTGGTTGTCATACAGAGAATCGAATACTTCCTCTGTGAAGTGCTCCTGCTGGGGTTGCGAGGATAGCTTCGTGAGTAGCGCACGGACGCTTATCGAGATTCCATTTGATACCCTTACGAGATCAACAAACACCGTTGCTTGGTCGTGCCCATCTGTGAAGAGGCAATGGGTGGGGACTTTGAAGGACTGAGATATTGTCTGGTTCATGCCCGCTCGCATCGCGGCCTTGGACTCGCAAATTTTCCGAACCCCTTCAAGATCCTCGAAGGCTTGGGAGGCGATGGTACAGAGCCGCTTCTTAGCCTCCTCACTAGACTCCTGCTCCGAGTCCCGACGCTTCACCAAGCTGGGGTACACCGCCACGCTAACATTGCGCTTCTTTTCAGCATAAAAAAATATAATCAACAGAATATCGAACTCCGAAAATTTATCTAGGCGAGCTATGAATGATACGGCACCTCCGATAGGCTCCACGCCGGACTCACCAACGGCGCCAAACACGCCAGCGCTCAATGGGGGCACGAATTGCGGCGGCCTAAAGTCAAAAAAGCCGTTTAAGGCAGAAAACGAAAGCAACTCCAACGATATCTCAAACCCTGCCTTATCCGAGACGAGGCTGTTAAGGAGAGAAAAAACACAGAATGGGGTTGAGGAAAGGATGAGGCTAAGCGATTTGCCCATGTTTTTCATGGTCCTCCCACACTCCCGTGAAGGCACGATGATCCCAGGCGAGCCGCGTAAGTCCCTTTTACTCCACGTCTCCTCGGTCGGTTGCAAGGGGATGAGATTCAGCACATCTCGTAGTTTGAAGCCATAGTCATAGTGCCTCTCCACAATCGGCGTTACGTCAATGTTCTCGATTCCCGGCAGGTTGATCGAGGAGATCCCCGCCATCGGCCTCAAGTCCGTTTCATTTACGCTGTACATCAGCCACAAGACTAAATCCCTGCGCGTGTAGAGGTTCACCAGTCGCCCCGCAACCACCTCGCGCATCCGCATCCACACATCCGTATCCGCAGGCACCGTAGAGCCCATCAGAAAGACGTTGTCGATGAGGTTGAACGCCTTGACGCGGTGCAGCTCCAACAGACACTCGCACACAACTTTGCAGCCAAAGCTGAACCCGATGAGGGTTACCGGTCGGTGGCCGATGCGGGTATCCAATAGGGCTTTCGCCAGGTCAAGCCCTGTGAACACCGCACGATTCGACAACGTAGCGAAGGCGTTGTCGATCGCACCAAATGCCCGGATGGCGTACATTGGGATATACATCGAGCCCATTAGCGATTTGAAGGCGCGAAAGCCACTGAAAATTGCACTCTGCATTAACTGCTTTTTCAAAAGGGCCTTCGCTTTGCCGAAGGCCTTGCGGCTGACTTGGTCGGTGATGCTAAACTCAATATCGACGCTCTTACCAAACAAGTCAAGGTACTCGTCCTCCCACTGCACGGCGTAGGTCTCGCTCGCGCCCACCAAAGCCAAATCCTTCAATGCGCACTTCCACAAGCCCACCTGTTGATCCTGCGGGGGCCGCCTCGGATCGAAAATGCTGGTGTAACCGCACACCCCCACCGTTAGCTTGGCCTGCGTCTGGACCGCCTGCTTATCGATGTGGCGCTCAACAAAGTCGAGCACGCGGAGTTGGATGGTTTTGAACTTTTCCACGATCCGCGCATTGAGTGAGAAGAATAACCCATCACTCAAACTCACCTCAAACTCAGAGGACTCGGGCGACTGAGTCTTTAGGGGCATCATCTTTAATTCTCTGAGAGTAGGCGCCACCGCGACGGCGATGCCCAAATTATTAAGGGCACTTATCTCAAATTCTAGGCGAACAAAGTAGACATCTACGAGCGGGTTATCGTTTGTGTTACGTAGCTCCAAGATGTAAAATCCCTCGGCACCGCGCAAATCCCAGTCTTGATTTGCGTAAAACTCTAACAAGGCTGTCCGTGATTCCACCATCTGTGGTAAGGCCGATCTCTGACATGAAATGCCATTCAAAAGCGAAACTTCTCTTACGCACACCGTATGCGTCGATTGGTTCACGATCGCAACGCCGACCTTTCGTCGCCGCGTGATATCACAATCACGTTCTGACATGTGCTGAGCGAGCTCCTTAACAGGGAAGGTCTCGGTGGTTCGCCCCTCCGTCCCTGAGAACGGCGTCAGCTTCAAATACGTCACGGGTTGATGCCGCATGGTCATCGTCATCCCACCTTGTGCTTCGGAGAAATCCTGGGATTCGACGGCGGACTCGAGCCGTGTCTCCGCCCTCAGCGGGTCGAACCCCCCCTCCGCGCCCTCCACAAAGCAGGAGAGCTCCCAGACCCCGAAAAGGTCGCAGTGCACCCGCACCCACACCCGCTGCG